TTTCATATTCTAAGTTACAAGTTTGCCCGTGTGTTTGATTTGGAGTCGTCATAAATTGGTGCCTAACAGCTGTCAACACCTCGAACAATTGACACATCGACGACCACATGATGGATAAAATTAATCAATTTTCTATGTGAACGTCAAATTAGTTTAATTTTTTAACAGATTAAAATGCGGTGAACAGCGAGCAAACACAGCAGTCCTGAGCTAACGCTAGTAACAAGCGTGAGCAAGCGTGATTCAATTGATTAACGTGAATGCGTAAATGATTTCGTTCAGAGATCGGTGTTAAAACGATTCCATGTAAATTAACTCGCTCTCTTGTACAACACACACACGACGACTACTTTGGTTGACTCTCTGTCCTTCAGCAGACTTCATCCTAATTGCGTAATTAGTGGACTATGACGTCACAACAGCGCTTTGTCTAAGCTAAACTTCTCTCCTCAGACCACTGTGCTGTTGTAATACGCCATAACCCCACCTTTCCCCGTAGAGGATAACTGCAATACCCTCTGTAGAGTGCATTTGCTGCCTCGGCGATAGGTCATGTGACACAGAAATTGAGTGTATTTTGGTTTTTGCAACATTCATATCTCTGCAGTATTACGAGGCAAAATAAGTGCAAGTAGTCATAAGGTGTTACCATTCCAACAAAAACAAGCAGACTACACAATACCAATCCGAGGCCGCATCTATGCAAGCCTTGCTAGCACGTGCTTTGCGCCATGTGTTAAGTAGTGTTGACAGCAAACGGGGGTTCATCTGACTCATTTTGACACAGATAGGAACATGACCAGTTTCTATGGTGAAGGACTCAGTCAAATTGGTTCATCAACACTTGAATGGATGTTTCGGTTTGTTGCTGAGCCATCAAACCTGCAAAATAATCATAAATTGATGTTTATAAGCGTCGCCATCAGCTGCGTTTTATATATGCGCGGAATTCGATCAAAACCAATGTGACTCAATCACTGAGAACATATGCAACTTAAAACAGCGCAATGTAATTTAAGTAAGCACGTTCGTTTTGAAAAAAGAAACTGTTTTTTGCCAGCACTTCCTAATGCTCTCATAAACTTCCATTTTCTGTTATTTATTGTTAGATCTCTTGTGTCAGGACTTTCAATGTGGAGTCAACCTAAAAAAAACCGATATTACCTTGTTCACTTGTCTACTTATTTCTTTCCAGTAGCCATCAGCATTTTTTCTAGTAGATTCCATATGATTGTCTGCTTTTACTTAACCGAAGACTACATTTTTTTTCGCATCTATGTCCTGTTAGACTAGTGTTTCATGCTCGAGCCAATGTAAGTTTAAACTGATTCGTTACATTGCATAAACCAAAGTTTGCAACTGCGTTTGTGCCAAAGAATATCTTTCAAATGTAATGTGATAGTAATATGTAGCTGAAGGCGCTGCTTTCTATTGTCGCTTTTTGATAATTGCACGGTAATCACCTCTCAAATTCTGTCTTCGACTATCTTTTAATTTGGAATGATTCTGTGTTGTTCGGATTGATCTCATTAGCCCGTTCTTGGCAAAACTCCTTGTCCACGGTATTTTTAAGCTACTAATTATATGTATTAGGTCATGTCATTGCAATGCAAGTAGACAAGGTTTTGTGTTTTAGTTCTACAGGAGTAGAGTTTATTAAGATACAAATTTTCCAAATGTCGCACTCTTTAATAACTAAAATCGAACATTTTAACGGTAGCGACATGCACTTATTTTGGCTTCTTTGTTAAATTGCAAATATAACTACCGCGTTGGTGAGCAAGATGTCAATATTTGCGTGCTAAAGTTCTTGATGTTTCTTTTAAATTAGGACATCAAATTTTTGATATTTAAAGGTAGATTATGGGTTAAAAATGATGCAATGTTGACGCTGAAAGTAATTGTCAATTTAGAGTTTCATTCTTGACCACCTAAGTTTATAATCTATTTTCACAAAAGCAGCAATTTCAAGGATGAACAAATAGGCCCAAAATTTTTTGCACTTTTTAAGACTCTTTTAGCTGTACTAAATTACCAAGCATAAACAAGCAGAACAAGGTTTTTCTGCATTATTTGGAAAAACAAACTACTGTTGGTCTAGAAAGAGATGTTTATCAGGAAAACAGATACACAAGTTAATCAATGTTTGTTAGCATTGTCACTTTCACCAGAAAGGCTCGATGTTTGAGAGCCAAAATGCTATAATTAACCTGCACACAATTGCTGTGATTTACTTGCACGTTCTGCAAACAATTAGTATAAACACATGAACCAACACTAGCTACAATTTCAAAGCTTAATCTCTTCCGTTAATATGCAACTTCATATGTATCCTTTGGATATACCATGTCAACAAGACAACAAATGCCGCTTTGGCCTATACACTACATGAAGCCCTTGCTGTAAGCTATAGCTGTGGTCCTGAACCACGCCGGAGCAACTGAATTAACCCTAGCCCGTTTACGCTTCCCTGACATCCACGATAAGAAAAAAGGCAGTTGGTGATGCTGTGTCATGTGTGGAGTTCGTACGTGTGTACTTATTCCTCAGAAGTGTGCGTCTGTAGTGGACTGAGAACCACCTCGCGTGAGTGATGCATGCATGAGGGCCCGAGTAAACCAATGGTTTACCTCTTTTGTTATTGGCCTTTGTCAGCATTCGCCTGTTACGCACACAAAGCCACTTGGCTGGTTTGAAACTGATAAACGGTCGCGTTTCCTGTTGTCGCCTTTCCCCCTCTTCTCGAGTAGATGCAAACTGTTAACTTAAGGGTTGTAAGGTAGCGCTAAATCTCTAGCCACTAGAAGTCGAACATGCGCTAACATTGAGACCTAGGTTTGGGAATAATCTAGGGTAAATGGTCGTGACAATAAAGTGACAGTTGAGGTTCCGTGCGGCTGGCAACATGCTGCAAAAAGAGGAAACTTGTGTCGGAGGATGGAGCGGCCGGATTAAGGAGTGTGTGTAAACACAATTCACACAATTCACTACGTATGACGGAAAATGCCAGACTGTGAAAAGGAACTTTCGTCGAAAGATGATCTCATGAAGCAAAACCCACTCGCAGTAAATGCCCCCCCTGGATTAACATGCAAACGCAAGCTAACCTCCAGAGATCAGCGTTACATGCACTTCGACAGACCTAAAACTGGCCATAACGGCCCTCCACTTACCATAAACTAATAAAAGTGCTAAGAATTTAACTGCATTGTTCACTTACCTCTTTCTTTGCAGTGCTAGCCGTAAATTGAAATGTCATTGCTATGCAATTTGTTATTAGGGGCATAAGTTGTATTTACATTGCATCGATTGATTGTTTGACAAACTAACTGCCAGAAACAAAGAAAACGTTGTGTGTCAACGTTTATTGGTTTACTAACTCGACTTGGATACACAATACACATATTTACGATTTACCAGTTCAAAGGGTAAAATATACAAGCCTGAGATTCCGGCTACTTCTCTCTGCAGCAAATGCAAGCAAGTTGGACTAAAAATGCTACCAGAGAGTAGATTATGAGCATGCTTTAAAAGGACTACATGTGATTGTGCATTAGGCAAATAAGATTGCGGTCATTGTGGGCGAATTGTTTCCTGTCACTTGGTGTTAACTCAAAACGTGACTAAATGCTAATCTTAAGTATGATAATATTTCCTAAGACAAGTATGAGGTCTATTCACCTAGCTCTGATGATTTGATTATGACTCTGTTGACCCGCCACATCGTTCTTTACACCATGTAGTGATTTATCCTTTACCCATTGATTTGGGGTTGCACAGGGATATATGTACGTGACCACATCTGAGCCTCCACTCACCTTTCTCCTCAACACTTTGATCCATGCAGTAAAAATCTCATCACAAGCACAAGTCTGCTTAAAATCTGGGTAACAGCAACATGCTAGGTTAAAGAATTTTCTGAATTATTCTTCCTCGACACTGGATCTAGCAGCTTGTTGATTTGGAAAATGATATAGGCATGAATAACTCTGTGAATCAATCCGTTGTGGTCAAATACCTTACATGCTCAGGAAAGGCGGTTGACGCATGTCACATTAAAAAATTTTCCTATTAGCAGAGTAAGTGATGGTTTGCTTTCATTTTGTGTGCGGCGTTTGAAGTGCATATTGGCGATATTGCAAGCACATGATTACAAACTAGAACAAAGTCTAGTTAGTTATTTAGGAAGGTGTCTGGAACACGTTTTAACAACATGCATTTCAACGGTTAGATTGCATGGGTTAAGAAGTACTTTATACAATCACTCAATCACTTAATAAAATCCAAGCTAAAGACCCAAAGTCGATGATTCGTGCTCGCGACTCAGGTCACCATGTAAACTCAATGCCACACGAAAATGGAAATATCTCCCCGCTGAATTTGTCCTACATCCCGTTTGCCCTTAATGTAGAAACGCTCAGTCTTTATTATGTTAATTCACACATTGACCCGGACAAGTATTCGTCCTATTATTTTTCGAATACACCGACATTCCTTTACTATATTCTCAACTGCTAAACTGAAGTGTAATCACTAGTTGTAGATCACGGTAGTCCGATTACCAGACATCGGGTGGTCATCAGCTTCTCCCATGGTTACTGAGAAAACCGATAATAGGTGTTGTCCATATACTGATTACCTTAAATTCACACAGTGCCTGCAAAACTGGTTTAACCTACACAGCAAGTGTGTGTTTTCCTAGTCAATGCAAACTAGGTTCTATTCATCAGTCACCCTAAAAACTAAGTGCCACTAGTTTCTGAATAAAAAGCACAATATCTTGACCTGGTGGTGACAACCATCCAACCAAAAAACGTAAAAGTTAAAATACAATGCGAATATTTAATTATGAACCAGAATTTTATTGCGGGATCAAAGGAAATAGAAGTAATTATTCTGCATCATTAGAAAGAGTTGATGGATTAAATAAACGGAGTAATGAAAGCGGGTGCTTGCCTGGATGTCGGTTTGCAAAGTCCACAATGCCACTACTTAGCACGTCAACGACGCTTTGTGTAGTGGGGTACTTTGGAGCATTGTCTGCGATAACAGGTATATCCGGCAGGACATTTACTGCAAGTTTGACCAGCGTCGTAGGGCCGCATCCCATAGAAATTTCCACTAAAAAGAGCAAAATAAGTAAACATTTTACTCCCACTGAGTTATGCAACAGACCCGTCAGTAACTAAGGGATTTTAGTTAGAAAAAAATTAAATGCTGCATCTACGTTAAATAATTTAACATCAAGTTTTGACTTGACTTACCCTGGAGCGTATTGACAAGCCATGAGATAAACGGGTTTAGGCCAGTGGGGCGCAATATTATCACAGCGCCGCATTGCACAGCCCAGATGAGTTGTCGATGCCCACACCATCTGTTAAATCAGAATAAAAACATGCAAGTACTTGTGCACCTGCTGCATTTTTCAAGTCATTCACGTCAAGCAGCGTGATCGAGATTTATTAAGCTGACATCAAGTAAAACCTGCATGCTAAATGAGGCATCTATGCCACTCACTTAAACAAAATGCATACCTGTGTGTAGTGTCCGCAAACGTGGGAGCAGTGGTTGTTATAATATGTGTAGTTTGCCACCTCGTTGTACCAGCCCTCAGCCATCTTTGTGAATGTTGGTACGTAGCCACCGTAAAGCGCAAGATTCTGTCCGATTCCACGATATTGCGTGTAAATTTTGGGATCTGGATGTTCCCATCGGCATTGTGCAACCCACTGCATGGCTAACCTCTCCAATTCGTATGAGTAACTCTAAAGCAGACAGAAAGTCTATATCTACACACAGCCTTTAATAAGTGCAGAATAGTTGTGCCGCGAAACCAGAAACATATAGGGCAAAATTCTTTATCCACGGCTGCCACTTTAACTTAAAAATGCATGCAGATTAGTGAGAAAGATGTTTTGTTTTGTCATTACAGTTAAGTGCAACAACAGACTGGTTTTAACTCTGTTCGAGGTTTGGAAAGTAACTATGGTTCTACTGGTTTTTTTATCTTTGTCTTTAGAAGTGCTGGTTATGATGTGTAGAAGTCATTTTCAAGTCAGCTAAAGTAATTTGGTCTATATACAAACGGAAAACTTAAATGAAAAGTCCGACGTACCAAAAGTTGCATGTTGCTGGCGGTTGGAAAAACGCCTTCGCGAACTTGATTATGATATTCAAGGATAGCAAAGCGGTCCGTGTGGGATGGCGCTTGTGCTATCGCATGCGATATCAAAATCAGAATCACTACCAGATGTTCCATTCTTCGTGAAATTGTGTGTTTGGAGTTTCGGAGACAACGCCAACCTGACGATGCTTTTTTTATAGGTTTAGTTAACCAACCGGCTCCGTGAAAAAGTTCTAAACCCACCCTCCCCCGACTACTCTTGTGTAAATGATATACTAATTAAAATTTATTGCTTCACGTGCAAAACAGTAATATTGAAGTTGGCTGAAAACAAAGCGAATTGATTAAAACAGATTCGCTAGTGTGTTTGCATCCACGCAATTTTAGGAACAGAAATCTCTAACAGACCATTTTCTAAGTATATCAACTGTGCCAAAGTAACCGTGTAATTAATAGTCTTTAATCAACGTTTATTTAAAACATAATGCAATGTGTTCAGCAGAAGAAAATCATTATATGTGGTCAGTTGTGATCATAGGACTTTAGTGGTTATAGCCAACTCTGGTTTCACCATTGGCAAATTACAAAGAAGAGTCCTCCACAATTGCCGTGAGAAATTTGTTTTTAGTTTTATGCCCTTTGAAACACGGTCTTTTCAACATTTAAGCGCGCTTATTTTTCATCTTTATATCTTAAATTGAATCTTATGTCATCTATCACTATAACGACAGAATTGATAATTATGGTGCACACAAAATTTCTTTGACTGGTTTTTCGACACAAGCACCCAAATAGAGATTTTATCCTTTAAAACTCATCGTCCGCGTAAACTTATAGTTTAAAATTCAACTACAGATTTCACACTCAGTTAGATGACGTATGCTCAAAATTGGGTATTCTGTTGTGATAATTTCTGCTAAGTCACCTGACAGCCTAAACTAATGACTTGACTTCTTGTAACCTACTGAAGCCTGATTACAAAATTCTGATTACGTGACAAAAGATCAAATATGCCACACATCGTTCGTTATAATACTGCCACGCTTCGCACTAAACTGAACGCATGTTTGTGCCAAAGATAAAGTTTTCAACGTGCATCATTGAAAATACGGGAAACCGATATTCTTGGACGGATGATAGGTATCTGAAATGACATGAGGAAGTAGAGAAGCAACGCTTTTTTCACTGTTAAGACCGCAAAATGTAATAATGTAAAAAAATTGTTTTTTTAAACAGTCTAAATTTGATAAGGGGCATATTTTGGCTGCAAAAATGCGTTCTTCATCATTAAAATCAACAGACTACCTCTTGTTTGACAAATATTACTTTAGTCTTATTCGATCACAAACGATAACGTCTAAATGCATGGCTTACGTACAAAAGCGTGTCAAGAAGTATTCAATGCTTTGTTGCTATTAGTGAATTGAATAAAAAGTGCAATTTAGCCCGTGACAAGCAAGTCAGCAAGAGAAGAATGTTGTTGAGCTAGCTGAAAAAATACCCGTACTGTCAAGTGTTTTACACAGATCTCCCGTGATTTAGCTGCCTACCACTGGCTATAAAAGATATCATAATCAATCCTTTATGAAATTCGACAAAACAAACTCGTTAAACCTACTTCACCCTTACTTTCGTCGTCAAAATCTTCTAATTCAGTGACAACGACATAGATTTCGTTCCTTGTGCTTTGTTGCTTTTCTTCCTTTATTAAAGTTCATGCTCTGTACAGATGCCAACGTAGGAACTGGATCAAATCCAAACACATCACATTTACACGTTTACATCATTACATTTGAAGACGAAAACAATACTGGATGACAGCATATATTTTCACAAGACTTGTTTCATTTTTATTTAGACTGAACTGATCGTATATTGTTCTTTTGCATGTCGAAATCAAGAATATTGCTATGGCATTTCTTACAGAAGTGTAGTTGGTTGATTTTATAAGGCTATCATCAGCATGTCTGCGGTAGTGTAATCTCTTCTAAGACATCGATATCGCCAACTGGAGAACAGGTCCTAATAATCTGATATTCAGGCTGTAGACTCCAAATGTTAGCATCAACATTGTGAAAAGTGTTAGTATACAGTGACTTTAAAATGACTAGTCGTGTGCCGAACTTATTTCTACACAAGCATCTGCTGTTTATGTACAAACGAGGTCTTGAAAGTTAATCTTTTGACCACACTCCCGCATCGCTTAAAAGCAATAGGATTTACTATCTCCTTGGGTGTCAACGCAAGTCCACAGTAACGCTTGCGTTTCTTTAGCTAGTATTAAGATTCTCCCTTGGGTCAAAATTTGTGCTTAATTCTAAACCTAAATAAGTGTAAGTATGGTTACTATATTTGAATTTCTTGAACTACAAGCACAGTCTAGAAACGGCGCAAAAATATTATTCACTCTAACAATAAAAATTTATTACTCACAAACAGTTCATCTTTATTGCCAAAACAATTCCGAATTCCCAATGTTGCCTCCATGCTAACACGTGCTTAGCGTCTTGTTTACAGGAGTTGTTGCATATACCCAGACTCCATCTGATTAATTACGATAAAATGAAATTTTGAAATGAAGGTCCAAGTTAATGATAAAACCAAGCAATCTACCGCTAAGGTACACTATAACAATTTTAATTGTAATGAGCGGCTCAATGGTCAGGCTTTAAAAGTTAATCGCAAAACACCATAGCCTAATTTTTGTTACAATTGACTACTTGGCACCATGCAATTCTCCAAACACATGAATTTTTGTATGCAAAACGCAATATCTGGCTCGAGTTAAAATTAAGCAACCTGGTTTGATGGCAATGAATTTGCACAGACAATATCATGATCATGTGCAATTGCTGATATATCCTGACTTAAGTGTTTATTAATGATTGAAGCATTTTCAATTTAAAAAAAAGGCGGCCGCTGATCACGCATTTCGGGTCATGCTGATGCGTTCATTCAAATGTCAGTGATAATACATCTGATTCCTTTAATCTCTATTGCTCTATTTTCTTATTTTCAAAAAAAGAATGTTTTTGAGTTTAAATTTCGGAAAGATTGTGTGGACACAGGCATTGTATTGCTGAGTCTTCTCAATAAATGATTAGTAAAATTGGAATAAGGGTGTAAAATGGAAGGGATACTGAATGGAAAAATGCAAAGTTACCTTAATTTTTATAAATGCTACGAAAATAGTTAAGAACTTGCTAAGTAGGCAGACTAAATTACAAAATAGGTGATATACCTTACCAAGTCTGCCACGCTGCTTCGGAAAAACCCATCTTAATATAGGAAATTAATTCTAACACCTGAGCCCTGCTACGAACAATTCGACGAAGCAAAATTGCTTGACCTCCTTTTGAGCGTAAGTTGTCTCTTATACTTTTGAAATGGCATCCATAAGCGTTGTTGCCAGAAATTTAAAACATGAAAAGCCGTAGTTTAAATTCCAGACCGAGCCCTATTTAGTGCTGATGAAAAACAAACCAAAGTAGCTCCCTTTGACTAAAAAGTAATCCATATTTGTCCTGAACTCAAGGCGTTAATTAACCACAAAAAAAATCCCTACCACATTTATTGTTTTCACGAAAACTCCGGCTTTAGTGAACTAGAATTTGCTGACAAAAGCACATAGGCAAATTCTATTGTAAGTATGTCAATAAACGAAAAGTCCTACTATTAATCACATAAATGCGTCTGTCGGTGTTACGGCAACAAAACTGAATTTAACTCACAAGGAGTTATTATTTTTTTTAAAAAAAACGAGAACGAAAATGCCATGTCGAATGTCATTGTCGAATTTAAATGGGCTTGGCTTTGTCCGATGAAGCCTAATTGTGTTAGGGTCTTTTTATTATTCTTTAAGCCAGCAATTTGGTGTGATTTTGTCTACAATTATAATTGTATTGCAATTTAGTCAATGTTTTTTAATTACCTGAACAATGTGTGTTACCTTTGCACATTTGATTGGAAAATTGTGTGACTATCTGGCCTGAAACACCCTTCAAGATATTCGCTTTATAGAAAAGTCTAATTAATAGAACAAACAACCCAAAAGTAGTTTTGCCAGAGTGGCATATTTAACGGAAAAATACTTACTCCATTAAATCAGTAAATACTTGTTTCGTTGAATCCGAAACTTAGTTTCACTTTCAATTTTTAAAGGTTTTGCTTATGGCAATGCAAAATTGGAGAACTGCAGAATAAAGTGTAGTCAAAAACGTATTTTCACACTACTACATCATAATAGTGAATAAACTGAAAGGTCAGAAAGTCCTGGAAGTCAGTAAATCAATCACGTTGACTAGGTTAAGTAGAGGTACCATGAAATTTAATATTCAGATGTGTGCCTGCTTTGTTGTGAAAATAAAAAAGCCGATAAACCTATTACTCTGAACACAAAATACAGCACTGCTCTAATCTTTTGCTTACACTAATTTAAACTAGTAACTTGTATTAGCTGCGAAAAGCACTATCTACATTTCAAAAAAAAATTTAAATTGAATTTTTATTTTTTTTAATGTAACTACAGGAAGGTCAATGATCAGGTGTAAACATCGTGGTTAACGTGGTAAATGGTCATCAAAATGCTTCTTGCAGATACCTGTAGTAGTTATAAACAGCAAATGCTCTAATTGGAAGACATAACACGTGTGAAAATTATCGAACAGTTATTTGCTCCAGAGCTGATAAAATACACAGAAGGCTTGCTTGCTTGCAAATTAAATTTCAAGCAAACTATAAGTGTGCTAAATTCCTAAAAATGCTGATAATCAATTTAGGACGGCAGTTTGTGTTGTTAAAAGACTCAGATTTAAAACCCTTTGGATTAATTTTTATTCTAAATTTCCGATAAGTATTTGAATACTTTGCTTAGCAATATTGCGTGCCACACGTTGAATAATACAACAGCTCTTTTCTTAATCTCAATCAGAACAATGGTAAAATCGTAGTGGCGTGATTGGATTACCGGATTTGAATAAATCAGGGGTGCTTTTAAGAAAAAAAATTTGGTAAAAAACAATGTAGTTTGCTCTATATCCTAGGCAAAATTCGTAATGTGTTGGATTTTCTTATTTATTAGCTGCATAGTAAGGGTGTGTAGTGGGCCCTGTCGTGGTTTTAGAAACCACACCAGGGCCGACAAACTACATTGACCCGATCCGACCAAAAAAGCAGAGAATGGGAACGGCTCGTAGCTCAACTAATTTATTGATGCAGTGGTGTGTGCGTGTGTGTAAAAGATAACAAGTACGTTTACATAGCCTTGCTAAACGTCGGTCCCTGAACGAACACAGTTAGATGAAGTTTCATTCATGTTCGCGAGTTGCTAACCACAGGTCCCATGTTATCAATCGTGATATTTGCAGAACGTTATGAAATCTTAGATTTTTTGGCATCAAAAAAGCAAAATCAGTAAATGTAAACAAGTCTTGTTGGTTTGTAAAACTGCAGAGACAATTATTTAGTCAAGGAAATATGTACGTAGACATGTTCACAGGCACTACCGGCTAAGGTTTTATCCGCAAGTATCTATCAGACAAACACCATGTAGGGAATCGTGTTGATTAAAAGCCATCAACTCCGATCATCACATTCTTCAGCACACTGCCCCTCTTCCCCAACAAACTCGTCAGCTATGGGGAATCGACTGCTCGCACACCCCTATGCAAGTACCACTCTATCTATCCGGTTATTCAGTCCTTTGTGCTTTTACAAGTTTAGCCAAATTGCATTAAACAATAATTACGAGAGTCATTTGCGATTTAGATTGGGCGCACAAGACTACAGAACTAGGTACAGTGACCAAATAAACGGATGTGTTTCTATCGTCTCCAGTCCTCTTACCTGGCATCAATACGGTTCAACACCGAATCCTGGCTGCTTTCTACGTCTCGACGGTCATTTCAATCAAAAACTGCTAGCTCGGAAGTTCAGTTTTCTGTGTAATGGTAATTCATCATGACAGCCTAATTAATTCAACCACTTGCTATAATAGTTTGGACGCCTCGAATTAACGCACGGCATATCCACAGACAGCATTTGTTATTTTTTTTGCAATTCTATCGCATTAGGTGGCAAAATCGTTTTTGACATGTGCAGCTTCGTACAGCGGCTAATATTTAAATCTAAAAACTTTTTATTCTTTCCAGACGGTAATGCTACACTACTAAATAATGAGCAATGAGCTACAATTACTAAAATCGTAATAATTTTGTCTAATCTGTAAGAAGGTTATTAACACGGCTTTAGTTAATGAGTGACGGCAAAACCGATGACCAACATTTTTGTTCAGAACGCAGAGCATCACGTTAATTAATATAAAAAAACAAATGTCACACTACTTCGCGAATAAAAATGATGATATTTTGAAGTTTAACCATATGCTACTACCTCATGCATGGCATCAGAAAAAAAGTTTCAATATGATATAACTTGGAAAACCCAAAATGTTCTCTAAATGGATGTTTATGCTCGGAAAAAGTCTTTTTATTTAACATTCAGATCGATTATTACATACAAGTCGAAGATGGGATATGAATTAAATAGAAAAAGAGCAATCACTCCGGTGTCTTAGGGAACACTGCAATCAAACGAAATGTGTCTTCCAAGTTAGGCAATGTATAAGCTTAGCAAGTGTGTAATGTGTCATCTGGAACACACAGCACTAATGTGGTGCTCAAGTCTTAGATTTTTGAACATTGTCTGCGCGAACATGTATATCCTTCCGAACATTGGCTGCAGCTCTGTCCTCTTTGATACGGTCTTCCCTTGTAGTAGCTTCCACTAAAGAAAGCAGATACGAATGGTAGTTTTGAGGCCTTCAACTTAATAATTGGGTTAGAAATCGGATTCTATTAAAGGAAATATCCAACTAATTTCAAACACTAATACAAATTTTATAAGTCGCACACAGAGTGAACTGGATTCTTTACTGATACCATTAATGTTTACATTTTCACTCATTAAATTGATTTAACATACCTTCCTTTGTACGCACAAGAAACCAGATATACCGGTTTGGGCCAATCAGGCTTAAGGTGGTCACAGCGGTTCATTGCACAGCCCAGTAGGGTTGTCCAAGACCACACCATCTATAAAAAACAATATTTAAATAGCCGATTTTTGAGAAAACGACTCAGCACTTGCAACGCTTTGAAGTAGCAGCAAGTAACTGTTAACTTACTCGAGTATAATGTTCGCAGTCGCGCTTGCACGAATTAGTATCGTAGTCATAGTCGTAGGACTCATTGTACCAAATCCGAGCAATTCTTTTCAGACTAGGCTTCCTGCTACCATATAGCAGCATATTCATTTGACTGTTTTTGTATTCTTGATAGATTGAGGGGTTCGGAACCTCAGGTAGGCACTTTTTAACCCAATCAACGGCTAATCTTTCGACATGCGGACAGTATATCTAAATCAAAAACAAGCACCAATGATGACTTCGCTGCTGCACCAAACATCAGTGGCAATGTTTCCATTTAATAACTCTGTCCACTTCTCCATAGGCAATACTAGTTGAATGACATTTCCTTGTTTATAATCTTCAATTCTAGGCAACATGCACGAATTCAGCATGGTTACACAAACTCAAATATCGGGCATGCAAGTATAACCACATTTGACTGACTTTTTGGCTACTGATGCAATAAAGGCCCCTAAATTAAATGTCATCTCAGTTTGATTAATAGACATTAGTAGTAACAACAGTGGTATAAGTAAACATACCAACTTATACATGTTGCTTGCAGTTGGTTTAACGCGTTCACGTATTCTAGTGTGAAACTCAAGAATGGCATTCCGTTCCTTTTGCGATGGTGCTTGAGCACCAACGTACGCCAGTACAATAAGAACACAGAGAAGTATTTTCATCCCTCCTAGAAGCGAATATGAAGACGACAAATGCAGCTTCACTGCTGCTCCGTACAGTTTATCCTGTGGATACAACAAAGCCACAGTAATAGATACAGTACCATATTACTATTTATATCAAAACGCTTTATCTAATTAATTATGCAGCAAAATATTTTGATTCGCAAGCATGTGTTAGAGCGATGACTGCAAAGTTAAATGTGATTGGGTTAAAATTAATTTTTATCTCCCAGTAGAAAGAGGGAAATTCTCAGACAAAATAACATGATGAATCATTGTTTTCGGGCAGTCTTAGCTGAAAGCATTTTACGCATGCCACATTTCGCCAATGTACTACAATGTGGAAATTAAGTGTTTGGCCTAAAACCGACCGCTTTAATAAACTACATGGGCGTATCGAATCGAGACTAGTTTGTAAGAGGAAAAATTGAGAATTAAAAGGAAACGTTTCAATCAATGCTGATGTGGAAAAAAAGTACTAACTCAACTGTTGTCAAATTAAAACTTTCTTGTGGTGACCCAGGTTATTTTTATCTACACCGTCACTCATTTATCTTAATTACCCTTTAAAATTAATAAAATGTCCTTAAAAACCCACCAATGCGTAAGAATGTAAAAAGAATTGCGATTTAACTCAAATGACAAGAATACATGCATAATTCAGCGTTAAATTGTTCACTTGTAGAATTAGGTAAAAGGGTCTACGATTAAAGGTTAACTTTTGCATTTATAGTCATACTTTCAGAGAGCCATTTTACCCACATTATTCCTTTCGTCTATATCATGGAGCGAATGAGTGATATGTACCTAAATAGCTGGCGTACACTTTTTTAGAACTAACCCCAGCGTTGTACAAAAACTGAACAGACAAAAATGATTTCTTAAAGTCCTATGCTGGAATAGTGTAAATGAGTATAATATCGATATGTTGATGTAAGAACTGTTATGCATAATGAAGAGTTATCAGTACTATTCTTAGTATGCTTGTTTGGATTCTTTTGCGGGAAATTTGAGCCGCACGATCACGAGAACGGCGGTTAAAACAATAACTGGTCAATGACGCCACAACACCTAATTACGTGTGGACAATATGTAACATTCATCTCAAATTTGGCAAAACCGCCGATTTCGCTGATTTGAAATAGCGCGTCAATGGTAGTGGCATCAGTGTGTGTGTGTGTTTAGCAAAGCATTCCTTTCATTATTTTAATTATTTTTTTTCACTTAGAGTATTTAACTACCTTTAAAAATTGAACTTGTAGATTTCTTGTGACTTAACCAGCATATTAAATATACCATCGCAGCTTTTAAATATCGATTCTTACAATTGGCTTAGTAGTCCTGACCGCATCAAACTATATGGAAATACTAGGCTTTGGTGATGATGCAAAAAATATCGCAATCGCATTTTCAGTAACCTGATTTTATTATTATTGGTACGGTCTAAGATTGCCACCATGTAATCTCCATTTAAAATGCATCATGCCATAGACAAGCTTTGGGAGTCTCATTCGATTAGGATCAGAATTTTATCAAAACTTTTGAAATTGATAAACGTTTAGTAGTTGCATTAATTTAAATAGTAACTAATATGTTGAATTAATGACAAAAGTGGTGTCAAGGCTATCGGTATTAATAATCTGCTGTTTTACTAGATTAAGGTACATGTTTTAGATTTACTACAAAATTAACCTCTTTTTACTTTCAATTGCTAACGGAACCAAGCATTTTGTGGGACCCGGTATGTCGTCTTGAACCACGCCGTCAATCTAGGCCAAGGACGAAGAAGATCTGCGAGGACGAGGCGCAGCCATTTACTAGGCAGTTCCACGAAGTTATGTATGCCGAATGATACAGTTGAGTGGACTAGTAAAAATACAGACGTCTGAATGGTCACAAGGCTAGAGCGAGTGGTGATATATACGGAGAGGTGAATGAGACGGCGTGAAAAGGGGCATGCCTGTGTGATTGGACGTGAATCAGCACAATTCACTGCAAGCAGCAAGTACGGCAGATGAGCATGCTACGAATCAAGCAGTGTTTTCAAGTTGCAAGCACTGACTTCCAGGCGGTATCGACTTAAAGCACTGTATGTGGACACTAATAGTTTAAACCAAACTTGGTAGAATTAGTTTCGATTTCCAATTATTTGTCTGGTTGTATAGTTCTATTCCACAGGCTGTAATAATACCACATCATCATGTGTTTACCTCGCAATTAAGATTAATTTCTCCCTCTCCCATTATAATGCCACTTGTTTGTGCGTGCAAAAACTCGGCAAAACACATTTAATGCATGGGAAATTCGCAGCAGCCTCAGCTTTAACTAATTATCTCATCACGAAAAATAAACTGTTACAAACATGCATTTGTAAAAACAAGCTGGTAACGCTGTGCTGGTAAGTTGTTGGCAGTCTTAGTTATGGGTTAAAATGCGTTTATACCAGAAACGTTTTCCTCACGTTCGGCGTGTCTTACAAGGCACGGGTTAATTCAGATCAATGCGTCAGCCACTTTTATCAAAAATATGTTTCCTTTTGTTCCTGAATTACGTATTTAACATATTAAAGCTATGTGACATTCACGATCATAACGTCTCCTACACAAATAGTTAGATAAATGCAACCGTATACATATTCAAAGGATCAAACAGCCACAAAGAGGTAGTTGACACCACCGCCGCAATCCATTCAAAGCTAATCACACAAATTTTACACCAATCAAGACTATTAGCCAATGCATTAAACAGTACAGTAGAGTCAAATAAAACCTACATCTTTGGGTGACTGACTAGCAACCAGAAAACTGTTGTGTCTAATTGAAAGACCACAAGTTCATCCACGTAGTAACCGGTAGGTGTGTGAATGACCTCGTGCTTAAGAACATATTTTGTTAGGGAATAGCTTTCCTGACAGCTCGGACAGGTGCAAGTGCAAGTAGGGATGTGGAAATCAACTTGTGAGAATAGTTTTAAGAATAGAGCAGGGCCACATGAGCATCTATGCTCTGGCATTTCCTCGTCCATGTTGTCTCTATCTGCTGAGCAGGCACCGAGAAATTTAAATTTTCAAGACAACTTAATTCCATGCTCAATTGTAAACAGTTTTTGATCATTTTGTAAGCAAACCATGTAGTTCCTTAGGCCAAATCGTGGCAGCATTTGCTTCCTTGTAGTAGGCATCAAACACCAGGAAGGATGTGGGTCAGTGGACAAGCCATAGAGTAAATGACATCAACTGTTCCACGCAAAACAAATGGCAGCAGTCTGCTTTTACCTACGTTTACACTGACTGAACCGTCTTATCAAAGTGTTTTTCCGGGTCACTCTTATGTAAATTCGAACCTTAAATGTCCTTACACTCTGCCTCCTGAATATCTGAGAGAATTCAAAAGCCAATGACCTAGTTTGTGTAAAGTGATAAAGGAAATAATGCTTGTTTATGGTTTACGGGCAGCTGAGGTTGCAACTGAACAATTTTGCACCATGCTAAGTTTCTGATTCTTGATATCCACTGGATTGGTTGGTAATGAAGTAGACAATCGCTCAAGTCCATGTGCCTATAGTATTTAGCTCCTTCCAAAGATAAGTTGATGTATAGCTATAAATGCGTGGTCTCATTCATGCAACTGATTATTACATTCCAGGGGCATTGATGTTTAAACTTTCTCTAATACCAAATAAGTATAACCGTATAGGGAAGCAAAATAAAAACCATGGCGAATCATGCCGAATCATACCAAATAACTCAATCTCGGGAACTATCCTCTTCTTTAGACGCTATATTATCTTTGACAATGAACCCGTTGCCTAACACCTTCCATCAACGACCAGTCATCCTGGCCTCATTAATGGATTCTCGATTATTTCAATTTGGCTTCACCTTTTGAATTTCTGAGTGCTGCTCTATTCTAACCGCTTGTGTAGTAGGTCTTTTCGATCCATTGCCAGCCACGTTCACAAGTCTCTTAACCATTTCAAAAAACATTGTCACGTTAACGCTCAAGCACCAAAATCATCTCAAAAGTCTTTCGATACCGAATGACGGCGGCAAGCGTTTCAGTCATTATCTGACGACGAATATTCGCGTCGCTTTGAAGACGTCGCATTCAAGTGTTGAGAAAGCCTTATGTCGACCACATTAAACCTAGGGCGATATCAGTGATACTGATTTATACGTTGAAAATTAACGGAGTTAAAACCCGAACGGCTGTAACATTTGCACATCCTAACGATTAGTAGTTGAATTGGCTGCAACCCTCTAGTCAACAGCCCGTAACTACCTCAGGAAAGAGGGAAGAGCGGCGACAGAGAACAAGACCGTTTAATAGTGCCAAACCAGCCAAGTGGCTTTGTGTGCGTATTAGTACGCGTGCGTAACTGGAGAATGCTGACAGAGGCCAATAGCAAAAGGGGTGAGTCATTGGTCCACTCGGGCCCTCATGCACGCATCACTCACACGAGGTGGCTGTCTGTCCACTACAGATACGTGTGCGTTAAAGGTGACTGCTAACAAAAAGATCCAATAACAAAGATGGGGAGTCA